CAGTCTTTCTGACCACACCCACAGTAAGAGTTACATTTTAATTTACATCATGACCGAGTATATAAATATACCTGAAATTGTTTTTGTTGTTAGTTGCTGTGAATTGAGCTGCTCCATACAGTTTTCAAGGCTGTGACCTTTTAGAAGCAGATCACCCGGACTGTCTTCCAAGGAGCCTCTGAGTGGGTTGAAATCACCAACATTTTGTCTAGTAGTCAAGCAATTAACTTTTGTGGCACCCAAGGACTCCTTCCATGAAATGACAAAAACCAAAAAAACCAAACCCATTGCCATTGAGTTGATTCCAACTCATAGCAACCCCCACTGGGTTTCCGAGGCAATAAATCTTTACAGAAGTAGACTGCCCCATCTTTCTTCTGTGGAGTGGCTGGTGGGTTAGCAGTCAAATGCCTTAGACACTGTGCCATAAGAGCTCCCTGAAATGATAGCCCCATTAAATGCAGTGCATTCTACTACTTTATATTCTATTGTATTTTGTATTAAAAGAAAGAAAAAATACTAGGCCCAACTTGGCTAATGACAACCTACAGTTACAAAACCATCTGATAGGTGCAGTTGGGTTAAATGTCAGTGGTTCGTGTTCAGGTCCTTTGTAGTTTTGGATTAAAATTCTGAGCAATAGGGTTCCCTGCCTGCTGACAGCAAGTTTAGGAGTCCGACTTTGAGGCATCGGCCCTTCCCCCACCTTTGTGAGGGACCAAGATAGGTTCCCTGCCTGCCCTGCACCTCAGTTTCCTCTTTTGTAAAATTGGGACTGATCATGAGTTTCTCACAGGAAGGAAGCAACATGTGGAAAGAACCTGGCATGTAGTAAGCATTCCCTCTTAACAGTACCTATAACTTTTAGTAACGTGGATGCCCTTTATACTCTGGTGTATGGCCTTGTGGGGTGTGGAGTTGAGTCATTTATTCCATCTAAGTTGCCCTCATTCATCTACACCATTTTCACCACTTCCTTGGGTCCATCAGCGCATACTGTACTCATTCTTGGCCCTGGCCTGAGTCAAGCTTGTTGGCCCACCAGAAGGAGCTCCTTTTGGTTGCTCCTTGTAACAACCAGTTGTTGATGGTAGTTGTATCCACTCTGATTCATGGTGACCTTATGTGTAATAGAATCAAACATTGTGTGGTCCAGCACCATCTCATGATCCTTCCAACCTAGGAGATTCATCTTCCAGCACTATATCACCACATGTTCTCTTGTGATCCACAAGAATTTTATTGGCTAATTTTTACAAGTAGGTCACCAACCTTTTCTTCCTAGTCTGTCTTAGTCTAAAAACTCTGCTGAAACCTGTCCTCAATGGGTGACCCTGCTGGTATTTGAAATACTGGTGGCATAGCTTCCAGCTTTACGAACACTCAGTCTACCACAGTACAACAAACTGATAGACAACCACAGATCCTCAAAAACTAGCAGTAACTCAGGGGGAAAAACCCTTTCATTGCTACTCCTGTTAGAACTTTCCAGTGCTCCTGTCCCTTGAGCTCATCTACGTCTTCATTTAGTTTCTTTTTGATTGTTCTTAAAGATCCCCCAAGAGAACAAGTTTTTAGTCATAATTTTTCTGTTCTGTTCTGTTGGTGTCTTTTGCAGACCATTGCTTTGTCTCTTCCCTGCTATGAGCAGCCTTGGCACCCTCTTCTCCACCTGCTTGGTCCTCTCTGTCCCACTCACTCAGCTGCTGGCCCGCCCTGCCTGCCACCGCACTCCGTGGTCACAGCTGGCTCTGAATCCCTCAGGTCTCATTCTGCTGTGATAGCCTAATTCATTGACCCCAGGAGGTAGCGGGTGCTCATGTCTGGTAGGGAATACTGAGTTCAGGAGGTGTGGCACCTGCCCTCCTCTACTTAACTACCAGGCCTCAAGACTCCGATTGGAGAAAATAAATAGAGCCCAGGAAGAGAAGCTTGTCAATAGTCTAGGAAGCTGTCAGCCTTATGGAATCCCTTGTTCCTCTTTGGTCTTTGGGGAATCTCTGTTTAGGGCACCCTTCAGTGTAGGTACTAGAAAAGGAAAGCTTCATTATATGTCTCCCAGATGCCAGGTGCCAAGTCCTGGTTTAATCAGTCCTTGCAGCCACTCTGTGAGAGGAGGAAGTTCAACCACATTTTACAGACGTCAAGGAGGCTCAGGGAGGCTCAATGACTGGCCTCAGGTTGCACAGCTGATTCACAGGGTTGGAATTGAACCAGACCAGTCATTCTGGCTGCAGAGCCTCTGGTCTTTAACTTCAGTGAGGTGCCCTGTGCTGTGGCTTCTCAGCAGTGGGAATGACGTTCACTCCTCCACTGAATGTGGAGACTCTTCCACTTCTGCTGCCCTCAGGTGCTCCTCCCTGTGACCACATACAATCTTGGAGAGTCTGACTCTGGTTCCGACCATTCATTTTTGGGTGGGGTATAGCTTATCTGCCTGAGTAGGTGATGAGCTTTGTGTCTTAAATTTCTTTTAAAAAAATGTTTTAATAGCTCAAATTATGTAATATATACAAGGATCATTTTGTTTTTAACAACATTCAAATGCTATAGAAGCACAGACAGGGCAGTGGCAGTGCACTGGTAGAATTCTTGCCTTCCATGAGGCAAAACCTGGGTTTGAATCCAGCCAGTGCACATCAAGTACAGCCATGACCCATCTGTCAGTGGAGGCGTGTGTGTTATGATGCTGAACAAGTTTCAGTGGAGTTTCCAGATTAAGACAACTAGTAAGAAACACTGAGCAGTTTACTTCCGAAAAATCAGCCAATTAAAAACCCTGTGGATCACAGTGGTCCATTCCTGTTGTACATGGGGTTGCCTGCCATAAGTTACAGGCCAACTCCTTGGCAGCTAATAACCACAACAACGTAAAAGCATACACAGTAACCAGCGATGGCTTTTCAAAAGATTTATTGTGGTAAAATATACAAATTGATGTAAATACATGAAATTTGTCACTTTAACCATTTTAAGTATACAATTCAGTACTAATAACATTGACCACATTGCACAGCCTTCACCACTACCTATTACCAAAAGTTTTTCACCACCGCAAACAAACTCTGTATCCATTAATAACTCCTCAGTGATGGCATTTTATATAGGTGTTCAACAAGAGTTGCTGATTGATCCATATCCCTTCCACTTTTTCTAAAGGGCAGTATCTATCAAAGTTTCCTGAAGGCCAGAAACCCATTGTACAGCCCTCAGCTAAAGACATTTGCTGGCTGCTTCTTCCTCCATACTCTCCTGCTGCATATTGAGTTGCAGCATTTGTAGCCTTATAAGGAATGGGGGAAAGGAGAGGGGTTATAATGGAGGGAGTGGGTACTTCTTAGATGTGGTGACCAATAAGGCCACCAGCACCTCCTGAAGCTGGTAGGGCTGGACCCTCTGGCAGGTTTTCCATCCAGTGATGACTCAGCAGGAACAAGGGCCTGTGACCAAAGAGATGTCCATTTATATCCTGAGGGAGAGAGTGGGGGAAATAGAGAGGAAAAACTGTATGCCCTGTTTCTGTAAGCCTTGTGATGTGACAGTCATTTTTCCCCTATCAAAAGCAGTAGGCAGTAATTTCTAGGGTTGAAATTTGGGGCAAGTAGTTGACAAACCATCAAGAGTTTGCATGTTGGAACATTATTATAAATGTATACAGGGACCATGGGGCTTATACCGCTGAGCCATAAAGATTTCATAGTTCTACCTACACACATGCCCTTCAGCCAACTTGTCATTTTAGTCAATTGACTGGATCAGTTAAAGTGGTTGTTCCACAACAGACAGGCCCTTCTCAATTAATTTATAGTCATCTTTTGGTCCTGCAGAAGCTGCAAACTAAAAATAAAAGCAGGGCCAAACTTTGATTTAAAAAGTCACTGCCATTGAGTTAAGACTCTTAGCAACCCTGTAGGACAGAATAGAACTGCCCCATAGGGTTTCCAACCTTGTAAATCTTTACCAAAGCAGACTGACTCATCTTTCTCCCCTGGAGGGGCTGGTAGATTGGAATTGTTGACCTTTTGGTTAGCAGTCAAATGCATTAACCAAAGCACCACCAGAGCTCCTTTAAACATTGATGGTAGATTGTGAATTGCCTCCAAAGCAAAGTTCCAGAGTTCACATGAAGGTCAGAGACATAAGGCTGAGTGTTTCCAGGAAGGTTTCCCCTGCCGGCCTTGCCCTGCGTCTTTGCCCACCACCTCCACCCAGCAGGCACTTTTCTGGTGAGCACTGACATGACTTCTATACTAGTCATTTATCTTTACTGAAAAGATATCCCTCCCCCGGAAGATGATTCCACTGATAACCAACCATTCCAGGGCTTAGCAACTCTCAGGTCAGGAAATCCTCGCTTGCCCCAAACCTGTATGTAGCAAGAGGGATTTATATCGATGTAAGCCTGTTTCCTCCTTTTTTGGCTTCTTGTTGCTGGAACAGCTGTTCATGAGGCCATGCTATTGGCATCTGCTCCATTGCTGAGATCCAGAAGGGCTGGTGCCAGAGTAATTTTTCCCTTTTTCCCACACTGGAGAGCCTCTCCAAAGCAAAGTCTTGGGGTGGGCATGGGTCCTTTGCAGGTCCAAGGACACAGCTGCAAGCTACCTTAGTTAGTGTGGAAACCCCCAGTGGCCATTTCCTCTTTCCCTTCCATGGTCTGTGATCCCCTAAGGAGATGCTCTAGAACAAACGGATCTCATCTACACACTGTTGCACATCTTCCTTTCCATAGATATCTTCATCCCAAACTGAAGACTTGTCTCCAAAAATTCCCTGAAGTTCCTAGCATCCTCCCAGATTTCAGGATGCAGTCCTGGCCTTAAGCCGGCTCAGTCATCTCTGAAAAGGTCCCCACAGCCATTATCTCCAGGCCCACAGTGCCACCCAGTGGTGAATAGAGAGCCAGCCCCTACCTTCTCAACAGATTGCTTAAGTTCCTTCTGGCTTCCTGTTGGTTTGGGTAACACACTTCTTAACATGAACCTCTTTCTCCTTTCCAGGTGGCTATGAGCGGTTTTCCTCCGAGTACCCAGAATTCTGCTCCAAAACCAAGGCCCTAGCAACCATTCCACCCCCGGTGCCCGCAAGCACTGCAGAGTCCTTGGATCTGGGCTGTAGCTCCTGTGGAACCCCACTGCATGACCAGGTAGATGCTGGCAGGAGCCCAGGCAGGGGTGAGGGACAGAGGCTAGAGGGGTGGGTGGTGTGGGGGTAGATGAAAGGCTTCATCTTCCGACTTATGCGTTTTGAAGGTTTTGAGTACAGCGTCTTGGTTTGGAGAGAATGTGGTAAACCTTGAATATTTGTGGGGGATGTTAGGTAGGGTTCATTTTTTGCTTGAAATTCTAACTCTTCCCTCTTTTATTACCCCCTCCTTAGTATATATATACACCTCACTCCCAGAAGCCCCTGATTTGGTCACTAGAGTTACGTACAGACTAGTGAGGAAGCTGATAGACGCCTAATTGTGTGGCCTACTGGACAGGAAGCTGAGAGAAAGAACAGCCTTTCCTCTTTGAAGGAGCAGTCCATGGAACCAGCCTTGGCCCCTAGCTGTCAGGCTGTCCTCCACATACATGCCAGTGAGGAATGCCAGATGGACATAAATGTTACCCAACGCTCTTTGAGGAAAACCAACTCAGACCACTCCATTTCTTATAAGCCCATCCCCTCCACCCCTTCCATTTAGATGGAGAAGAAGGCCATTTAATGCGGCATAGCCAGTCTGCTTCCCAGTTCTCAGATTGCTTGAGTTGTTCTGATTGAGAAAATTTTAGTAATTTAGGCTGATACTGTCTCATCTAGCCAAGATCCTTCCTGTCTGTGAAGCTAAGATTGTATCCATTTTTGATGTGCCAAGACATATTGAACCAAAAAGTACCTAAGCCACACAATAAATAGCTTGATTATTAATGCATACAAACTCATTTTTATATGCATTAATATGAGTTTATAAAATAAAAATATTTTATTGTGCTTTCAGAGAAAGTTTACATAGCAAATTATGTTACCATTTAACAATTACTACACAAAATTGTTCAGAGACATAGATTACATTTTTCATAATGTTTTAATATTCTGGGTTTTGCATCCAGTATTCTGGTTTCCCTGTTCCCTTACCCTTTCATCTTTGCTTTAGAGTAATTCTTGACCATTTAGTCTCATAGATGATTTTTTTCTTTAAAGGTGCACAGTACTCACTGGTGATATTCCTTATGAGCCAGTCTGTTAATTAGCTAAAAGGTGCCCTCCAGGTATTTTGGTTCAAGGTTTATGGAGGTAGTCTCAGGGACTTCTCTAGTCTCAACTGGTCCAGTATATCTAGACTTGGTAAGAATTTGAGTTTTGTTTCACGTTTTTCTCCCCTTCTATCATCAGGATTCATCCCTGTGGCCCTGATGAGAATAGTTGTTAGAGATGGCTGGGCACCATCTAGTTCTTCTGGTCTCAGGGTAGGGGAGTCCATGGTTCATGTAGATGGTTTGTCCTGTAGTCTAGTTGCTTCACTGAGTTTTTGGTTTCCTTTTTTCTGTTTTGTTTCAGAGGAGATGAGACTGATTTTAGATGTATTTGAGGTAGCTACTTACAAGCATTTAAGACCCTCAACACTACACACCAGACCAGGATACAGAACATGAACTTTGTGATCTATGTTATGCCAATTGACCAAGTTGTCTCATGACACTATGAACTTAAGGCTTCAAACCTAGAAAACCAATCTCATGAGTATAAACTCTTAATGTTACAAATGGTGTAGCAAGCCCAGCATTGTCTGCTGCCTCTTTTTTCACCAGGGAGGTGGGGTTGCTTGGACCAGTAGGTGAGGCCAACAAGACTTTATCTGGCACTTAGATTCTCTACTGGTGGGCAAAACAGAGGGTAAAGCCTGGAGAAGTCCTGCTGGCCCCATCCACTCTGTGGGCCTCAAGGCCAGGAAGTCCTGGCATAATGGGGAAACCTGGAGGAGCTATGCCTAGCAGATTTTCTCCCCAAGGCCTGTGAAGGCTCACCTCACACTGGCTTCCCTCTCCCTGTCCCAAGCAGCCCAGCCCTTTCCCTAGTTGCCTCACACTCATGTTGTCTGTGGGCCTTTGCTTTCCCTCTTTGGTGCAGGGGGGTCCTGTGGAGATCCTTCCTTTCCTCTACCTCGGTAGTGCCTATCATGCTGCCCGGAGAGACATGCTGGACACCCTGGGCATCACAGCCCTGTTGAATGTCTCCTCGGACTGCCCCAACCACTTTGAAGGACACTATCAGTACAAATGCATTCCAGTGGAAGATAACCACAAGGCTGACATCAGCTCCTGGTTCATGGAAGCCATTGAGTATATTGGTAAGTTGGCCCCACCCTTGCAACACTGCTCAGAGCACTGGGCCGGGGAGGATAAGATGGAACCACTTGTAACAAATATGTTGAAGGAGGGACTTGGGAGGCACTTTCTCCAGGATGTGCTCATTGCCTCTCGTCCTCACTCTTTGAGTGTTGTGTTTGGGCAGCAAGAAGATGAACCCCTATACTCCTGCTGTTAGCTTACCTACCTTTCCTTTGCATGTTTCCACATGTCTAGATGATAAGACTTTCTGGATGGGGAGGATTCCTCCCCCCCCCAAAAAAAAAGTCACCAAAGATGAGAATTAAGTCATTGTTTTTGTTTCTACCAATAGAAATTCTTGAATGTATGTTGGGGTGTAGCTAGCTGTTTCTTATTATACATGTATAGTGTTCTTGTTTGGTTAAGTCTCAAGAGCCCCTCACATGTGCCCATCCTCCAAACCCTGCCCATGCCCATATCTGGCTCTTTCTGATGAGGGGCCAGGAATGCTGAAGGCACTAACTATGCTGTGCTCTCCGTCCAGATGCGGTAAAGGACTGCCGTGGGCGGGTGCTGGTGCATTGCCAGGCAGGCATCTCACGCTCTGCCACCATCTGCCTGGCCTACCTGATGATGAAGAAGAGGGTGAGACTGGAGGAGGCCTTTGAGTTTGTCAAGCAGCGGCGGAGCATCATCTCGCCCAACTTCAGCTTCATGGGGCAGCTGCTACAGTTCGAGTCCCAGGTGTTAGCTACGTCCTGTGCTGTGGAGGCTGCCAGTCCCTCGGGACCCCTGAGGGAGCGAGGCAAAGCCACCCCCACTCCCACTTCACAGTTTGTCTTCAGCTTCCCAGTCTCTGTGGGGGTGCATTCAGCCCCCAGCAGCCTGCCCTACCTGCACAGTCCTATCACCACCTCCCCCAGCTGTTAGAGCCACTTTCGGAGCCCAAAGAGGTGGAGTCGGCCTACAGCCAGAGGTGGGTGGGCCACACATACGGCAGCCAAGTCAGAACTAACCCAGCAGTGGGCAGGTGACCAGGCTCCTTCCCCATCCATTTCTCCTTGGCCATCCTCGGGCCGGCTAGAATGGCAATAAGGACTTTGAATACATATTAATAGCAAACAAAGAAAACACTCCAACTTACAGCAATAATGGCTGCTTCAACAGCCCGGGAAAACCTTGGTTTGGTTTGTGTGTCAGTTTTACTTTTAAGATAGAGATTTCTTACCTCATTTTTTTAAGCAGTAAGGCTTGAAGTTATGAAATCCACAGATCCTGGCAAATGTGCCCAACCAGTTTTATTGGGAGGAGCGGGGCAGGCGGGCAAGTGATAAGAAGCAAACAAATTTCCCAGAAGTGCCTGGATTTGTGTTCTTGTTCCTTTTTTGTTGTAGTTACTGGAATTTTGTTTCTTTAAAGAAACCTTTTAGGGCATGGTTTTCATTTCTAAGTCACCAACAGATGAATAATCATGCTTAATGATAAATAGTAGTTAAAAATCTCCTCAGAATATGTAAGTACAAGGAGTCTAGTGACAATGAATTTAGACTATATTTATGTTGATGTCCAACAAAGGGAGCACAATAGCTTGGAAACGTCAGAGCAGTTAGGGAGTCCATGACTTCTTGTAGACATGCACAGGTCAGCATGATGACTGACTTGAATTTGTTGTCACTGGGAGGCAGGTGAGGAGGGAGGAGGAAGAAAGGAAAGGACTACTTTTTAATTACTTTGGAGCTGGTTCTTGGGCACATCAACCTCTGAAGCTATTTAAACCACAACAATACATTCTTCTCTCTCTGGTGATCAAGAATTGGATTTGGTGGTGGGAGCACTTTTCCCTAACCCTGTCTAGGACTTGTATATCATCTGTGATAAATGCCATACCCTATAAGGTGCTCCGGAAAAATTGGGTGCAATTCATTTTTCTATAGTGAAGCATTTGACAAGGCTATTAAGAAAACCAGTTAACTGGAGATAAACCCAAAATGAGTCCTTTTGTAAGTTGAAGCACCCTCTTTTCTCTTTTGCATAAATTTGAGTTTTTAACTTGGAGGTTTACTTGAAATGAAATATGCTAACAAATTCCTGTGTCTTATAATTCCTGATTCAAGTGAATATTATTAAGTGCTCTCTTTTGAATGAAAAGGGGAGTGTATACCACATTCAAGTCCCCTTGATGTTTAGAGGGGCAGGAGAATGCAGTGAGGTAGAGTGGGGTAGACTCCTTGCCTAGGAGCTGGCTGCTGGGTTCAGTGAAGTGCATGGTGGGCACTTGGGCCATTTTAGAATCCTTTCTGAGGACAATGCCATTTTAATAGGACTTTCCAAATGGAAGAATGGCTTTTGGAGGGAGAAGGGTATGTTCTCTGTGGGGGGTGGGCTTGGGGGGAGGGAGTGGGAACAAGCTACATGTTGCTTCATTTGTAGTATTGTGCAACAGTGTTGTATGGAGCATCAGATTAGAGGTAATTGCAAACTTGTCTAGAAATGAGAGCATGTTTCTTTTTTTTTTTTTTAGCCCTTTGACAGTCTAGATCTAAATGAACATTTCTTGCTCACCTACAAATAACTTAAAGCCTCAATGTCAGCATAGTGTTGGAATGCTATCTCTCATCCAAGCATCCCAGATAGGAACAGGCTTATTACATTTTCTTCCATGAACCTGTGTCGGCATCATTTGCCCTGCCTTTGCAAGCCCCACCTCTGGGTGAGGCCAGAGTTCCCGCTTCCTGCTTTAGAAAAGCCAGAGGTTCCCTCCTTCCCCTCGGAGCTGCTTGGCTGAATAGTTAGGGTGAGGCGTGGAGGGGTTGGGGTTCCTGGACAATGGACCCATTTAGAGACAGCACAGTTAGACATTCCCACTTTTCCCTTGATTCCTGGAAGTCACTTCTTGTTTTGTGATGAATGAGGTCAAATGGGTCCTGCAGCTGAAAAAGCTATGGGTCCAAGAGCAGATTGGTGAGGGAAGAGGAGCTGCTTGGGGAAGGGAGGGAAAATAGCCTGGAGAACAGACTCACTTTTTATAGAATGAGTGTACATTTGCCAAGAACTCTGCACACTGCTTTCCCAGATTGGAATTCAACCACGTGGACAGTCAGGACTCAAGACGAGTTCCAGATCTGCTTTTCCCCAGCTTCCCAATCCAAGTCTTCTACAACGTCAAATAACTATTTATAAAGCCATTTTCTCTGTACTTGGTATCAGTGTGAGTTTCAAACCTCTTAGAAATGAGTAGGAAATTAGCTTGATTGGAAAAAGGGACTTTTTTTGCTGCTGTTCTCCCATCAGAAGCCTCTTTGATAACTTGGAGTAGCTCTAATGAAAACACCATCATGGGGTAAACTCACATGTCAATGAGTGTCAATAGGCAGCCTCTCATGAAATGATTTCTAGCTATGTGAAATTCTCCAAAGGCCAAAGGGCATTGCCACTGTCCCTGGTTATCAGCATTGCTGTTGGCTGTGAAAGGCAGTAGGTTTTCTGGATATTCTAGAGAGACCAAGGCATGCTGCTGATTGCCTCCTGAAATCTTGTTTGTCCAAGGGCATTTATGGAGGAGTACTAAGGGCCAGTGTTCCTACAGATCAGTATTAACCTGAAGTGACAGACCTGAGTAGATGGCTGATGGTGCCACCTTCAGTTATTCTCAGTTGAGGCCCTTTTGCTCAGGTGTTCATTCCAGCCACAGTCCAGAGAGTTCTCAACAAAGATGGGGAGCCTTGAGAATTTTTTTTCTTAATCCTTGGGGAGATGGTAGGAGAGCTGATTCAAATGTGAAGGAAAGGGGCTGGAGACTGGGGTTGGGCAAGAATCACTAAGCCAAAGTATTAAAAGCAGTGGCTCACCTTGGCTGCCCATTAGAATCACCTGGAAGCTTTAAAAAATACCATCTTGGACCAATTAAGTCTGAGTTTCTGGGAGTGGGACCCAGGCATTATTTTTTCATATTTCAAAGTGCTCCAGGTACTTCTGATGTGCAACCAAGTTCAGGAAACAGCTTTGGTTTCTGCATGGCATGGTATTGTTGGTGACTGGGCCTTAACACAGAACTGGCTTGTCTCAAGGAGCTGTGGCATTTGTCGCTGGCTGAGCATAGTACCACTGTCAGGCCCAGCCCAACCGAGGGACAAGATGGTTTATCTTTGGAGCTCCTTAAGAAGCATGAGGCCCCCTCAGTGGGGTATCCTGTCCTGCTTCCTGAAAGTCAGCTGATCTGGGGAGCATCATTAGGTAACTAAATATAGTAGCTAGATGGCAGTGTTTGCCTTGAAATTCCTTGCCATCAGGTAAGATAGAGAATGTCACCTCTTTGAAAGTGCCCCCTTCCTCCCCAGACTCTGTACTTCCTTCGAGTTTGAGTCATACAAGGAAGAGACTTCTTACAGACAGAACAATGCAATACTTGTAACTTTTGTAAATAGCCCCATCTTTCAGAGTGAAGTCATTTCTACATTTGATATGCCTGTATTTCTGTAGGATGTATATAGTTTAGGGGTTTTTTTGTTGTTGTTGCTTAGTTTTGTTTTTTAGAAAAGTCAACACGTCTGTTTTTATTTATTGCTTGAAAAAAATCATTTGAAGAAAAATAAATACATTTTCAACCACCTCTGGCTTCATTTGTCCTATCTTTGAAAACTGCCCTGCTCTGACTCAAAAGGGGAGGAAAGAAAACTTGGGCCAATTAATAATCTTGTCTGCTTAGTGACATCTGCAATGAGACTTGCCAGTGAAATCAGTCAGCCAGTTTTTGTTCCCTGAACACCACTCAAAGAAAATGAGAGGAAGAGGCTGATAGTAACCTTTGAGAGTCTGAATTCTCCAGGAGCAGAGAGACTGAGGGGGAAGAAGTGGATTCTAATGAGAGACAGGGCCCTTCATCTGAGAATCTACTGTGTGCCAAGGTCAGGATACAGAGATAAGGACGGTTCCTCTGCCAGAGAGAAGAGCAGGGTAATCAGACTGCAACAGAAGAATGTACAAGGACTGGCCTGCTTCTAAAGACCCTCCCTGTTGGTACTAAGGGGTCCAGTCTGGCTCACAGAATCAATTTCACTAGTCTCATGTTCTGTTGGGCTCATGGAACTAGGCAGTGTTTCAAGGTCAGATTGAGGAAATAAGTTGACAAAGGTTCTATTGCACTGGTCAGTGTTTCCTCAATGCTGATCTACTGCTTGCATCAGATTCCACTGGTACACATTTCCCAAATTGAAAACAAAAAAACGTAAGTAAACATGCATTTTCACTGTATCATAATTATTTAACGTTATTCTGAAAGGACTAAAACCATTGCCATCAAGTTGATTCCTACTTGTGGCGACCCCATGTGAGAGTAGAACTGCTCCAGAGTTTTCTTGGCTATGATCTTTATGGAAAAGAGCCCTAGTGGCACAATGTTTAAGTGCTCGGTTGCTAACTGAAAGGCCAGTGGTTCAAACCCATCAGCTGCTCCCCAGGAGAAAGATGAGGAAGTCTGCTTCCATAAAGGTTACAGCCTTGGGAACCCTATGGACCAGTTCTACTCTGTCATACACGTCACTATGAGTAGGAATTGACTAGAAGCAGATCTCCAGGCCTTCCACAGAGGTGCTGGGTGGGTATGAACCACCAACTTTTAGATTAGCAAAGAAATGAGGTATATAACTTGGAAAACAGGTGGCTAAATTACTTGCAAATCGTTTTGGGAAAACACAAGAGAATCAACCAAAAATCTTTGAGAAGCAAGAGAATATAGTAAGTGGTTGATAAGCTTATATAAAAATCAATAGCTGTTTGTTACGAAAACAATATCCAGTTGAAGTAGGAGATCCTATTTACAATACCAACTTAAAATGCTTACAACGAACTACCAGAAATAGGCATGACCTGTACATGGACATGATAAAGCCTTACCAAGGGATGGATTAGAACACTTGTAAACAAGCATATGGTGTTCTTGGATAAAAAGACCACGTTGAAAACAGTTTACCATAAATTAGCCTGAGATCATTTAATGTGATCTCAACCCAAGCACCAGAAGGATTTAAAGGGGAACAAGACAAAATGATCCGGAATTCCACCTGGAAAAAAAAACATTCAGAAATAGCCAGGGAAACAGTAAAGATAACAGAGGGAAAGGAATCATAAGATGTGGGAAGAGACTTATATACTTCAGTACTATGCATCTACCACTACTACCATAAAAATTGCTTTAAAATTTTTATAAGAGATTATTTTAAAAAGTGAGATTCTTGGGCCCACCTAAGACTCAGAGACTACAAAGTACCTCCAGCTGATTGTGATTTACAATCCAGGTCAGGAATGAATGTCCAACTAGTTATATCCTTTTGCATATGTTCCTCTTCCAACAATACTCTCTCATTGTAACAACCCTGTCATGAGTTGAATGGTGTCTTCCCAGAATGTGTCAACCTG